TGTGGCGCTCGCCTGACGAAGGAAATTACCGAGGACATTTTTTCTAGGGGGCTTCAGTTTGTTCTTGTTTACAATGATCCAAATGACCCAACAAATGTAACTAGCGTGCTTGAAACTAAGGTTCTTATATTGCTTATTTATTGCCAAGGTAACGACTCTGTGTCTCTTGGAGAACTTCCCCTACACCCACTACCTCGTTTCCCAGAAACAACTCTTTGCAGCGAATTGTTTGAGGCCTTGCAACACATGGTGATTCAGGTCGTCGCCATTTCAGACGTTAGGGGCAGAGTGATCGGAGTGTTGACAATGCAGGATATTGTGGAGTTTGTTCACAAAACGTCGTTTCAGGCGGAGATGGATCCCAGGGCGAAGGTGCCCTTTCAAATAATGGTCCATTCATGGAAAAGGCTATGCGGGGTGCGTGGGGACTACGTGGCAAGTGGCAGGTACAGCCTAACTGTGGGTGGAGGAAGAGGGGGAAGAACTCCTTCGACTTCCTCTTCACGCTGCAGTACGCCTCTCCTCCAACGCCCTATTTCTCGACAGGATGTGCTGCAGTCAAACTTCACCCAAATTAAAGTGTCAGATGAAAACAAACAATCAGACGAAAAGCGAACGAAATAATGCTGGTGTACGTACACACGGGGAGACAGAATGAAGGAAAAAAAAAAAAAAAAGAAAGAAAGCCAAGAAAAAGAAGTTCCAAGAAAATGCGAAAAAGTATAGTATGAGAAGAAAATTGCTTAGACAGCTTTTTTTTTGTTCTTGCTGTTTTGGTGCGCTAGAGTGTGTACGCCGTTGCCGGACTTACCGTGACTAAGTTAGGGTCCCATAACCTTGATGAGATTCCCCTTTTTAAAATTATTGTTGTTTTTCTCTTTGCGGCTCTTTGCTAATTACTTTTTGGAAGGAGATCTGATAATAAACTACTCTGGTCTTAACAGCAACAACAACAACAACAACAACAAAAACAAACAAACAAGCCAAATAGAAAAAAAAAAAAAAAAAAAAACACAAGACGAAGAGCGACAGGGACGGGAACAGAAAAAGCAAACGAATTATTTGTGTGTCGAGTAAAAATGGTCACACGCACCGCACGATTGGGTGGCAAGACAAATGGCGCTAAGCCGAGCGGCTTGTTGTTGAACAAGAAGGGCCTCCATAGTGTTCATGAGGTGACATTGGCGAACTACTCTGCGGAGTACCTTTACCTTCGTGAAAATGAGCTGACCGAATTTGACGCCGAAGTGACCATGGAAAACCTTAAGGTGTTGGATCTGTCTATTAACGAAATTGGTGGAACAGTGGATTTCTTAAGCAAGACCCCGTTTTTGCGCCATCTTTACATGACAGGGAATAGGGTTGAGTCTCTGCATGGCATTGCAAACTTTTCTTCCCTGGAGACACTGTGTCTCAGTGACAACGCCATCAACAGCTTTGAGGGGTTAGAACGGCTTCCAAACTTGCGGGTGCTTTCCCTGAACTTTAATAACATATCCTCCTTTGAGCATTACCCGAATCTTCCTTCACTGCATACACTGAACCTTGTTGGGAACCCGGTGACAGAAATTCCTTCTTACCGCAGTATGGCCATCGCCATCAACAATCCTAACCTTGTCACCATCGACGGTAATCCTGTCCAAGGGGAAGAGCGTGCTGCACTGGAGCATTACCAAGGAAAGGTTGCTTACTGTATCTGCGAAGGGTTTATTGTTGAAGGAGATAATGTGGAAGAGGCCACGGATGCTTTTCTTCTCAAACTTCAGCGTGCGAGGGAAAAGTCAAAGCATCTACAGCTATGCTCTATTCGTCTCGCACCGGAGGATGAAACTCGTAATGTTCTCACGGAGGGAATTCCGGTACGATTGACATGCT